AAAGCAACTTAACTCACTTAGCTTTAAATTCAAATTAGTGGATTCAATCCCTCTTCTCTAAGAATTCATCTTGAATTTTAAAGTTTATAAATCTACCACTACAATAGAGTTACATACATAAAATATAAAAAAATATCACTATATATATATATATATATATATAAATATAACTAATTTTAATAATAATTTTGAATTAGATTGAACGTTATAATTTATACCTATATTTTTAATAATATAATAACATATATTATGTTTATAATCGAGTTTTAATGATAAATATTATATTATTATAAGATATTACACATCTTTTGAAGTTAAGAGGACCCATTCTTTTTAATAAAGATTTTAGACAAAATTCATCGATATAAACATATACAATTTTTAATCATATTTGACAAAAATATATAGAGATTAGACACGTACTGAAACATATTTTTCCACTCGATGTAGAAAAATAGGAAAAATGCTACAATGCTGTAACTGATTTATTAAGCAGATGTGATTATGTAGGTTCTTTATTTAGTTGTTCATACAATTATTATTATTATTTTTATTTTTATAAGTCGATGTTGTTCATACAACAATGGCAACAAATCGTAACGAGGCTACCTTTAGCAGAATGTCGTCCACTGTTACATTGGCGTAAACGAGGTGCACCTTTGTTTTGTCCTTCGGGTTTTCCAGAATGGCTCTTATGAGCTGCAATAAATGATTGGGACAAAGTAACATAAGCTCATTTTCTATTCATTAGTCGAACCCTTACATAATAAATGTCTTTTTAAGTTATTAATTTTATTTACAGATACTAAAACATTAGTAATTTGATGAAGACAAATAATTTTGTAAAAATGATGAACACAACAATAGCATTTTAATAAAATATTATTCAAAATATAAATAAAAATAGTTAATAAGAAAAGTTAAAATAACACTATTTAAAATTTATTTTTTCTTTTAACATGACAGTCAACATGAGATTGAGATATTTCAAACAATTATAGGATTCACATATCTAATAATCATGAATAAAATGTTAATAAAGCTTTTGTTGAGATCAAAATTTGCATTAATTTAATAAATAAGTTTCACCATAAAACTTCTTAAAATAAGCTAAACAACTTTCTTAAACTTAACCAAAAATATTTTTTAATGTGAATGCTTAGTTATGTAATAAAATATAAGCTCCATATTTGAGAATATAAATGCCTTGAGTTTGAACATTCCATGTAGAGAATGCGCGCAATTGAATATTACACAAAACTTAGGTAGAGCTACTTATATATATTTTATGTTATTATCCAATGAAATTGAAATTTTATGTTGATATTAATTTATATAATGTCAAGATAAAATTTTAATTATGATTAAAAAAACAATACTAATCATACCTAAAAAAAATTATATCTAAGTTAATTTTATCATTAATACATACACCTTTTCCTAGGAGTGAAAGTATATATATATGTACGGACCTGAAACATTGGAGTTATGCCTGAACCTCCAGCAAGCATTCCAAATGCCCTAACTTGGCCAGGTTTGTAACTGAAACGTCCCTACAACTCGCAAGTATATTCATTACACTTACATTATGCTTTTGTGACTATATATGATTAGGTTTTTTTTTTTTTTTTTTTTTCCTTTTCATATTAAAATGTAAGTAAATAGTGTTCGTATTGATGGTATAATAAAATTGTTTTATACTATCATTAAATCACAAATTATCATATATAATAAGTTTATTTTTCTCTTTGTTTATATTTTATTTAACTTTTAAGGCATTAGCATAATACTTAAGAAATATAAGTCTGAATTAATACAGTAAAATTACTCCTATAATTAACTTCCTAATATATATTTTATGAAATGTTTGGATTCTTACCAATAGAATAAGTATTGAAAAAGATAAACAACTCATTAATCAATTAAATAATGTGTTAATAATAGTTAAGGATATAATAGAAAAAAATATATGCAATGTTATACTGATAATTTAAAATGATAATTAAATTAAAACATATTAAAATTGTCAAAAAGTTAAATATAATAAAATGAAAGAAGTAACTTTTATAATAATTATCTTAAAATTCATATAATTACTGATTTTTTTTTATAGATTGATATTGTTAAACAAAATATACTGATGATGCATAGAAATTAAGCTTATTTATTTTGAATTAAATTTTATTTTGCATAATTAAGGAAAGTAATTAATACCTTGGGGCCCTTCACGGCCAAGTAATCACCTTCCTTCATTTGTCTAAAATGGTGGGACATCTTTCCATTTGGGTACATCTGTTTGGAAAACAATATTTAGATAATGTATATATATATGCTATTATTATTGGGTCAATTTGTTTAAGCTTTTTTCATATAAAAATGTTTTTTCTTTCTAAATGAAATAAGTATTTTTTTTATATACTTTTTATATGTTTATTTAAACTTTTTAAAATAAATAATTTTCTAAACGAATTATTATTTTTTTAAAAACACTTCTCTTAAGTTTAAACAAGTGGACCCATTATCACAAAATAACAATAACTATATATATTTGAAAAAGGTAAATTAGTTTATCCTTTTGCAAAAAAATTCAGCAAAAATTGTACCTTCACAACCAATTCAAAGTAGCCAATATCTGAATCTAATGTGATTGGAGTATATGATCTCAATACTTCCTCTCCTTGGCTATCTTTTCCCCTGCTCAAAAAAGTTAATTAATTAATGAGTTAATCACTTATATATTATTAGTGACAATCAATCATATATTTTATTAGTGTTATGTCAAATGCTTATTTAATAAAATAAAAATAGAATAAAATAATTTAAAAGATATGATTAGTTGCCAATGTTAAAAACTTTACACTGACAATATATGAATGATTAACTCTTAATTAATCACTATAAAATGGATTTATTACACGATCTCTTTTATCCTTTTATTGTATTTGAAATTTATGATATGTTTTATTCAACGGAATACGTTAAATATATAACATTAGAGCAATATTAATATATGGTAAATCTTCCAAACCTAGCAAGTATGTTTTTTCCAACGGGAAGACCCAATACTGATGAAGGAGTAGGAAGGGCAAATCTGAATCGTGCAACGTTGTGGCTGAGTGGAGTCTTCTTTATGAGTTTAAATTCTTTGAAATTGTTGGGGTCCAAGCATCCTGAAAATTTTGACATTTTCATAGTAAATTTGCATGCAAAGACGAGTCTAATAATGACACTTTCAATATACGATGCGTGTGTGCTTCTTGAAAAATCCTGTAGATATTTGCTTTTAGGGTCTAGTATATATGAAAAAAATCAAATTTATATATAAAAAGAAAACTATTGATTGCTAATATAAATTATTCATTAATGATTGTTTTTATTTGCATAATATATATTTGATACTATTTTTAATTAATATAAAAAATGAGTTGATATTTCATCACATGAATAATAGCAATCATTATTTTTTTTTCATCAACAAATTCTCTAAAATGAGTTGCTCACTGAAGAATCAGCTATAATAATGGATAAAATTCCCTCTTTATAATACAAATCAATTCTCTATATACACACACGATGAGTGAAACTAATTAAGTCACTAAATTTGAAAATCATGAAAATTTGTTTAATTGATCACAAATAATTCTGAAAATGTTTTTAAACATTTTCTAAAAATAAGGATTTTAATCACATTAAATAAATAAATAAATGTAACATAACATTTTTACCGTATTAAAATTTTATTTTTACTTTAGAAAAATTAGTTTCTCATTTTTTCATAGGAATGATTTCATGAGAAACATGTAAAAATCATTTTCACAAAATAACATTTCTTAAAGATATTACCTTTTAAATAATAAATCAAACATAAAAAGTTAACATTCTCAACATCAAATTATCGAAAAAAAAATAAAAAAAATATTTTTGTGTAATAACAAATACCCATAAAAGTATTTAGTTACTAATGAGTAATGATAAAGTTGTCATTTGTTTTATGATGATGATGGTGGAAAGCATGCAAATTGGTATCTGTGTGATAAATAGAAGATTTATCTAAGAATGGAATTGAAATGAGATATTAGAATAAGTTGAAGAATGATACAAATAAAGTGTAGAAGTATATATGTAGAGCTAACCTTTGGGGTTTTTTGTGCGATAGTAAAGATAAGCAGCTGAGAAGCCAACGGCGACAAGAGCAACTACACCACCTAGCAATTCAGGGTTGAGATTCTCACCAAAGGGTAAAAACTTGAAATCCAAATTGGGGAACCGAAGTGCCATGTTGAATGGTAGCTCTAACATTTTGCAAGAAATTGGGAAATCGCAACTATGCTTTTATGCATGTGCAAACTACAAAAGGCATAAATATAATATTATGCTTTTTCCTACCTAATTAATTCTTTTCTTCTTCTCATCACTGTTCTTCAAATGAAGCAAAGAATAATCACAAACGTACAGCTAACACGATATTCTACGCGATAATGTTTCTGAATTAAAATCATGATACTTTACCCATGGGTCATTTATTTGAGTAGAATTGGATTTAAAAGTGCTGGGATACAAACAAGTCTCACATCGATAAAATAAAATAAGAAATAACAACTTATATAACATAAACATACTTCAATGATTAAGAGGCCTCTTGGGTAACGACCAAAAGCAAAACCGTGAGGGCTAAGACCCAAAGCGGACAATATCTCATCATTGTGGAGTATGTTTGTGAAATAACACTATAAAAAATAACTTTCATAAAATATTCCCTAAGACAAATACCATAAAATAACCTCATCAGTGGTATCAGAGCCTGCACCCCCATAAAAACTCATAACATATAATGTGTTATATAAAGACAGATTCCACTGCGTGAAAGGTTAGGTCCCTTGTTTGAGGGGAGGATTGTTGGATAAAAAAAAATCCCACACAGATAAAATAAAACAAGAAATAACAACTTATATAACATCAACATACTTCAATGATTGAGAGGCCTTTTGGGTAATGACCAAAAGCAAAACTTTTTGTGTTATATAAGTTGTTATTTCTTGTTTTATTTTATCGGTGGGACTTGTTTGTATCTCAACAAAAAGTATGTTGGAGGAGAAAACCTCAAGAAAAGTGGTTATAGCTAGTCAGCTTTTAATTCTAACAAAAATGTTACAAGTACGTAGATATGAAAAAAAAACCGATATTTTCACACTAAAGAAAAAAAAATGATAAATACATACATTAGTGGAAAATTAAGATATCAAATCAGGTTCTAAAATCGGTTATACTGAAATTCATGCTGGGATATTTTTATAAATAAGACTATTACTTTTAAAATTGCTCGTAAAACCGATTTTATATGTGAATATAAAATCGGTCACAAGGAGAACTAATTTTGTATGTGTGACATATGAAACTTGTAACATTGTAAGTTTTATAAAATAGTAATATGTATTTTTGAAAATTAATTAAATGTGAGTTTTTTTTAAAATAATTAATAATAATATATATGTATTTTTAAAAATTAATTAAATATACTTTATAAAAATTAGGAAGAGTTTGTAAAAAAAAAATATAATCTGTATAATATGAGAGTTATTTTGGGTTAAATCTATTTTTATATCATGTTATACTCTAGTTTTATGCTGGTTAGGAAGTTATTTTGAGAGGGGTTAAGCATTAGTTCATTATACGGATGTTTCTTCTTCATCTTTTCTTTCAACTTAAAAACCCACCAAGAGAATACAAATATTGAAGGAAGGAACCATCTCAAAGATTTCTTGTTGTTTTCAACCATCTATTGAGGTAATGAGAGTGAATTATCTTGCTCTAGGTGTAGAATTAAGAGCTCCCTCATTTGTTTGCATTTGATTTACTTTCAATAGTTTGACATTTTTTTTGTTCTTATTTGTGTCCATTTTTTTTTGTAGGGGGGCTTGAAGATAGAGGTGTCAAATATGTTGGGTCGACCTGACCCAACTTGATCTACATGGGTCAAATGCTATTTTTTAAGTTAGACTGACTTGACTTTTTTTTTTTTGGGTGCCATTGTTTGACCCAACCTAGCCCATGTCAAGCCATTAAGCCATCGGGTCATCAAGCCAAATTGTCCTAATTAAAAAAATAATATTTTTTTTACAATGAAAAAATAAAAAAATATATATATAACATGATTAATTGATACTATATACTACCATGAAACACCTAATAGTTTTACATGTATACAATTTCTCACCATTTCATTTGTATTTATCCACCCCATCAACTAGACCAACCTTTTCATAATGATTCCATACCTCAAAGATATTAGACTTAGTTTTCTTAGCCTTTTTAGTACCTTAGCGTTTGTCATTAATATCCTTACTTTTACTTTTATTGTGACTCTTTGAGAACAGGTTTGAGCACGACTATGTCTTCATCTTTTCGACAAAATGAACAAAGATGACAAGTCATAGGGTCAAGTTATCAGGGGCGTAGTGGGAACAGTGAAGCTCTCACATTGATTAGCCCTAACTCTAAGCTTGTAACTACAATTCTATAAGAAAACACAAAATAGTGAAATACTATTATATTATAATACATTTCAGACTTATAGATTGATTGTAGTTTAGATTATTCCACTTAGTAGTTTAATAGGCTTATAAGTTAGCTTGTGCAACAACTTAACCTAGGCTCATTTGGCTTATCGGACTTAATAAGCTAGGACAGAATGATTTGGTTCTATTTAGGTCATTCCTTTTAAGGCATAACCAAAGTAGATAAGGTTGGATGGACAAAGTTCACAGAGACAAAGTGTGACTAGTTCCCTGCTCTATATGCCTACTTTTGGGCATCTATCAAAATGGAGCCTAATGCAATGGTGGGCCTGGTGGACCAACAAATGATTAGGGTTACTCCCTTGATCATCGCCACTATGACAGAATGTCGAGAAGACAATATATCCTACTCTATTTTCTGGGAGTAGGCTATTACTTGAGAGACTGTGGATACTCTACTCTACTCAAAACCAAGACCGATTGAGAAGATAGAGATGAAGAAATTCTTGAGGGTTGCTAACTTGAAGCCCCTGTGCAAAATGTTCTACAATTTGTTGTTCAACACATTCATCCCTAGGTCTGGTTCCAAGGATAATGTCTCAAATGTCAATAGGTTCTATCTATACCACCTTAGTCTAGGTGTGAAGATAAATCTGCTTAGTTTGATTTATAATCACTAGAAGTCTTGTCTCAACCACAAAGACTAAGAGAAGAGTAAGAGGGCACCCATTCCCTATGAGATGCTTTTCACGAAGGTGATTGAGAGAGTCGACATTGATAGTAACCTTGGAGAAAGATTCTGATGTTGGAGATGTGTCTATCACTACCCTCAAGTGGATGGGGATTGCTCACCTATTTCCTCTAGTGAAATAGAACTTGATGACAATCAAAATAGAGCTAAAGGAGGGGCCTCCACTGAAGAAGCTAGCCTACAACCAATAATCACACCACTAAAAGCCACCCTCAACCACAAACACTCACCCAACCACCAAATCCTCCTTAAACTCAAATACAAGCCTCTCCTCCATCAACACATAAAATTAAAAACCTCTATATCTAAGATTCTTCAAATATAAGTACATGAGTCTTAATTTGACTTGGATGACAAACCATTATCATTTTTTCTCTCTCGTCTTAGGCCTAAATCACCACCACCACCACCTCAGCATACAACAAAAGCCACTCTTCCCCCAAAATCCAAGAAGCCTCATCTTATTTGAGGCCTTGTTAAGCCTCAAACATAGAAAAAAATAGAAAAGGCTCTTCAAGTGTGTCAAGGTACTCTATCTCAACTAGAGGTAGAAGAATAAAGAAAGAAGAATGAGGATCTAGTTATTGAAGAGGGAATTAAATGCTTAAGGAAGCACTATGTCTATCTACTAAAAACCTCACCACCACAATAAATTCATCCATTTGCGTTGGTCATACCTTTGAGTGTTGACATCTCCTTGGTTTTTCTTGATCATCGTACCCCTAATGCTTTTGTTTCTATAGTACCACCAGGAGAGGATGTTGAAATCCTAAGGGTTAATTTTGAGGAAGAAGCCAAGCATGACTATCTAGTGGAGGAGACCATGATTAATGAGGAGTCTTGGGAGCCCTCGATGTATGATTCCACAAGGAAATCCCCATACTATAACATGTAATAATACCTTCATATATTCTATAGGGATGAGAAACCCATCACCATCCATCCTCTAACATGAACCTTCACTCCACCCCCTTGTTTTGTATGGTCAACATTGTCTGGATGCTAAAACTCACAGGCTTATCAATCACCAGTGCAACGAGCTTGAAGATGAATGTGATTTCTAGGTTTCTCTAGAGTTAAGTTATACGAGAACCCCTCATAATTTTCCTCTCATGATTGGTGGGCAAAGAAGGTCATACATGATCCAACCTTGGACCAAGTTCTTCATCACTCACTCCAAGATTAAGGTTGTGCAACATTCAATCTACAAAGGGATGGTGAAGAAGACTACCTACCTTCAGGATGTGAAGCACATGCGGTTTGCTCGACATCATCCATTTGAGGTCTCCATCACTAATAAAGACTATCCCTTGTATGTTGTGGGGGTCGCTCTCTTCAACTAACTCCATCTTTTCTAAGCATTCTACCCTTTTATTAGCAATGCTCTTTAACAACCTCGCCGAAAATTTCATTACAACACTCCTTTCAATTTTCAATTTTTTGTTTGTATACTAATAGATATTGTTTTCTTTTATGAATTCCTTGAAGGTTCCCGACCCCTATCTTGATCCTCCTGCTCTTAAACCAACCTAAGAAGCCTCGCAACATGGCTATGAGAATGCCTTAACCCTCATTGTTGGTTTCCTTGTCCAAGCTTTATACACTTCATTCAGATGATAAACATGCTTTGAATGCATGTTCCAGAAGCTGCTTAATAGACTACATATGGAAATCAGCTTAGACAAAGACGGGTATTCTTTGACCTAACTTTTGTTGGTGTCAAAAGGGGGAGTAACATTATGATTTTAGAAATTCTTGTGTATTAAATCTTTGAATAGTTATTAGTTTTTTTTTGCAATAATTATTATGCACAATTCATACTTTTATGCTCTGAATATATTTGTTTTAATAAACAAGCTTTCATTTATGCATATTCTTAAGGGGAGTATTTTAAGTAAATCTTTCATATTTTTCTTTGATAGTTATATACTTTTACTCTGATAGTTATGAATGCCCTAATATATATTAGATACGTTATGGTCTGATATAACTCTAATATAAATTTGTATCTACTCTGATAAATACTCTATGATTTTCTCTAAAATCTATC